CTGTCTGTCTGTCTGTCCGTCGGTCGGTCTGTCTGTCTGTCTGTCTGTCTTTCTGTCTGTCTGTCTGTCGGTCGGTCGGTCGGTCTGTCTGTCTGTCTGTCTTTCTGTCTGTCTGTCTGTCTGTCTGTCCGTCTGTCTCTGTGTCTGTGTGCCAAACTTGGCAAGCGATTGTGGCGCAGAGCGGCATGTCGCACAAGAAGCACATGGCATCGCACCGGCTGCACTCGTCTGGTATTGGAGACGGATGCAGATCATCTTTGATGATACAAGGTGCTTGCACATCCTTCACCCCAAGCTGTGTGGTTCAAATTCATCTGCATCATTTGAAACTCTAAAACAACTTAGCTGTTCCGCAATGGCAAATTCAACTCTTCCTCGTCTGCGAGATTGGGAGCAGCCCTCGTCGAATGGGCCCTGGCCTCGGATTGTGTCTGCTGTCCCCGATCCGCACATGAGAATAAAGAGCATTTGGAGAGCTCCCTGAAAGAAGACTTCACTCATACAGCAAGGGCTCTGAACGGGACCTCAATTCGGAGAACTGGCTAGTCAATCTGCGGCTGCTGCGCCGACGTTTTAAGGCGGCTAGCACTAACATGGTTGCCCTGCTTGGCTTTCTAAGAATGCGGTAGGAATTGGAATACAGGCTTTCTTACGTGAGGCCTTGCTGGCAGACTGCGTGCACACCTCACAGTGCCCGTGCTTTACTTTTCATGTTTGTCTGCAGCAGGCGGAACCATCAAAATCACCAAAGTCTTTGCAAACCTGGAAGCAAGACGCCTTGGCGACGGCGGCGGCTACGGCTTGCGGGATTGAGTTGGAGTTGTCAGTGCCATCGGGATTCTGTGGAGGCCGGCACCAGTGGTTATAGCCCAGCATCGCAGCCAGGATGGCAGCACCCCCCCACCAAACAGCTTCAGTGAGCCGTTCGACCTGCTTCGGCACGAGCCCCATTTCAGAAAAGCACATTACAAGTGAAAGGACGACACCCACGGCAGTCAGGAGAAGGGCCCCAGCTGAAAGCGCGGCTTCGAAGGGATCACGACGCCACTGAAGTGAGAGCCACGTGTCCATCATCATCACTGCAAAAACTGCAGCTGCAGACTCAAGCGAGCACACGGAATGGCAGGTATGCTGGGCCAACAGTTCGATCTCCGTAACAACGTCGAGACTGATCTTGGAATCACGAACCATATTATGGGGTAAAGGCTTCTCTCACTCCTGCCCCTGGAGCCGCTACAGTTCGTGATGAGACATGCGTGGCTGCGTGGCTTGCACTTGAGCTGCGGCGGTGGTGCTCAGCGTTGCGTGGACGATGTCCTCATGTAACCGACGAAAATCAAATATAACCTCTCCGAACACCTGGGGAGAAGGAACTTTGAGCCTGACCCCTGGAGCTCTCGGTCGACCTCGACAGGTTTCACACCGTAGGGGTGCAGGGATGGAAGCCGTGATCTAGGGCTTATTCCGAGGGGGTTGGTCTTAAGGTATTCCGATCTTAACAGGGGTCCTATGAGCAACATGAAGCAATGAGCAACATAAAGCAATGGGCATCTTCCCGTGGTTCAACAGTTGGGGTCAAGATAGCATGACAGGCCATACCCCCAACCTGCCTCCGCCCACAACACACAGATTGTCTCCCAAGCGAGTGTAGAGGGCTGAGGGGGTTCGTCAGTCAACATGCAAGAAACAACCCGGAAGCTAGTCGCGAGAATAGGGAAACGTACACTTGCAGACCCTCGTCAACACAAACAGGAACATCTTCTCTCCACACCCCACAAGCCCAAAACTTCGAAGTGTATGTAGAGAACCGCGCACATCTTGATTATGCCTTTGGGAACCAAACGGACGCACCTCGCGGGAAGTAGATTGTCGCTTCGGCTCCCTCGATGCTTCTGGTGACCTGTTACGAGTCCAACAGCAAAGAGGCGGTAGCATGCAGGGTTTAGGAAGGCTCCACGGCCTCTATGCCCATTCCACTTAGCTTCGCCATCGTCTCCATCCGGCATCATTCATCATCGTTACCATCATCAATAACTACATGGTCGCCGACGTCTTCCGCATCGTCAGCAGCCTCCCCACCACGTTACCATCACCGATGCTTTTGAGTCTATGAGACACGATTTCCCTCGTTGCTTTCCCAAGCCATCATGACCATCTTCATCATGTCATTGTCGACATCGCCATGACCGCCATGACCATCACCGCTACCATCATCCTTGCCGTCAGCAGCAGCAACAGCAAGCGCATCGCTCTCAACATCACTCGTTTCTTTGACTTTTATAAAATGGTTTGTACTGATCTATATTTTAACGACTTGAAACGTTTTTTGTGTTATTTTTATTGATGTTCCATTGAATTTCACTGGTTTTTCATTGCATTGAAGTTTAGTGATTTGCCTGCGGGCTACGATGAGGGAACTGACAGGAAGCAGCGCAGTTTTGATTCTGCCATGGCAACCCTAACATGATGATCAGATGCCGAATGCCGCCATGCCTGTTACTATTCCCGCAGCTCCTCTCGCAATGCTGGCATTGTACATTCTTGTCACTACGAGCTCGCTCTTGCCTTGTTGCTCTCAGCTTGCTATGTAATTAGTGTTGGGGTTTGCATAGTTACACGTATTATCTGTTTATAAACTATAAGTTCTATATTATTTCTTATGTATTTAACATGATACAATAGATGTTAGGCAGGACGTCCACATCAACTCCCAGCCCTTAGACCCGACACCCGAAAGCCTGTAGTGAAGCCGAAAGTCTGAAAACCCTAACCAACGCACCAGCCTGCTTATGGGTTCGTTCAGGGTTTAGTGTTATTTTTTTTTTTTTGGGGGGGGNNGGGGGGGGGGGAGGGTTAGGGTTTAGGGGTCAGGGGCATCATTGTGGCTTCATCTTCTTAAACCTCAACCCCACTTACAACCCGCATCAAGCCGCGCAACCGGCCTGGTGTGACCTCGGTGGAGCCACCTCCTTCTCAGCTGCTTCGTCCGATTCCTGAGGGATATGCTGGGTCTCTTTGGGGAACCAAACGGCAACACAGCTTTGTTTTCTGTTCATAAGGGACGAACCAAAGGCTGCTACAAGTAGCATGTGTGTGTAAGGGTTCGAAAGGTTTTTTGGGGATCTTTCAGGGCTTCGAGAAGGTTTCACAAGCTTGTTCGAGGTTTGCTATGGAAAAATAATAGGTCTAAAAGACCTCAACTCAAGCTACCAACATAGGGACGACAGACATATGGATGTTTTTCATGTTGTTCATTCCATGTCTCTGCTCTGACGGCTTATGCTCCAAGCAATAAGTAGACATGGTCTTCGCAAGCACGGATGCAGAGGCACGACAAAACAAAGACACCACCAGCTGCATAGTCCTGCCGGCAATCAGAGCTATGGGCAATGTGATCGTCGGCAGGTTCATGGCAGGAGCCACCTCATTTTCAAGTCCGACAAGTTATTCCCTGAATATCCTCTCGGAAAGACAAGAACTCAAGAACCCACCCAACACTATTGGAAGCGAACTCAAAACAGCTGCACCGATCTCCCTGTGTTGCTTGGGAACCTTGTTCGCTCAACTGCCGCAATCAAGCCGCACGCACATGATATCTGAATACTCCGCCCCTCCCCCCTTCCCCCCCCCCCGGGAAGCGAAAAACCAGCCAGCCTCTGCTGCCAGCCGCACGAGATGTGAGAGCCTCGATGCCTTGTGGCCCGCCTCTGCTCAGATCTCTGTGCAGAACTATGCATCCCGAATGGTCCGAGGCTGGACCGGCAAATATGGAAAACCTGACTGGGGCGCTTCTGCGGCTAGGTGTCTTCTCGGACATGCAAGGCCTGCGTGCTGGCTTTTCTAAGTTTATGGCGTTCAGGGTTTATGGTGCTCACGACATAATGAACTCCCTGATGTCGTGCGGCTGGATGCTCCAAACACTTCAAGCAGCTCTTCCATGCAGCTTTCGGTCAAAAACCTGGACAAGAAAGCCCAGAACCAAAACCTTGACCATGCCGACCTAGACTGTATATTATCTTATATTATATCAGATTACATTATAGTACATTATACTACAGTAGGTTGTAATACAGTATATTACACCTGCAAGGCTTAAACCGAAACCCTACGATCGATCTCTGGCCTGAGTTTTGGTTTTTCGGCAACCCACGGAGCTTCTCGGCCGTCCCCGCTTTTTCGGGCTGACCTCCAAGAGGAGTCGGTTGAGGGTCGATTTCTGGTCATAGGGGTTCGGGTGGGTTTCCTGCTTTGATTGTGGTCTCCATCGTTGTTGCTACGAAATACGAGTATCACCACCATCACCGCCACCACCTCCACCACACCAACAACAACAAAACAACCACGACCAGCACCAGCCCAGCAGCAGGAATAGCAACAAGAACAATGACAGGAACAATAACAATACCAATAACAATGCCAATAACAAAGCAACAGCAACAGCAGCAGCAGCAGCAGCAGGGGTATTGGAACTTAAAACTATTCGCAACTTCGGGAGGACGCGCACGGATCGTGTGAACTAGATAATTGAACATGAGTGCAACCTGTGAACTACGACACTGTGGGTGCACGGCCCATAGAGTGTAGTTACCACGGTGATTCGTAGAGTGAACTATACATCCACGACTAGGTTTGCGTCGCCCGAGACCTCAGCCCAAAAACCTGAAATCGTTGGTAGAACCCCCCTCCCCCCCCACCCCCCCAAAAAAAAAAAAAACGAAGCCCTCGTCCCCAACATCCTCAAACACTAAA